TCAGGGCGACCATCGGAGCACCTGGGTCCGTTCTCCCCATGGAAGGGGGCAGGCTGGATCCAGCTGCTTCGGAGCAGCGCCGGCTTTGGGAGGGGAGCCATGCCCGTGCCGCTGCTTCGCTTAAGGGCTTCCCCCGAGTGGAGCGGAGGAGCCTGTTGTGTCTTTACAAATAACGGGGTCACCCCGCGCCCCTTGGCTGGGGCGTCCAGGCAGGGAGGCCGAATTGTCCGTGTCCGTGTGCGGGTGGGTGCAGCTGACCTCGGGAATAGTAACTTTTCCACCCACTTTAATTAGACAGGCGATGTATGACCAGGGAGGGGGAACACACCAAGGAGCAACGTATGATAGGCAGACTGGGAAGTCTGTAACTTCTGAGTACCTTGGCTGCTCAGGAAAAGGAGAGGGCAGCCCTTGGTCAGGAAATTTGGATAGAAGGAGGCTACATCCTCCTGTAATTCGACAAGTCCCACAGGGGTATGACCCAGTGGACTCTCCCTTTATTTTGAATAAAGTTTTAGGACTCCTCTGTCACCTTTGTGGACATTAGGTTCTTGACAGTGAGATTTTCTGCACACACATGACTTTTTGCAGATTTCTGGGGTGCTTCATGGAGGCAGCGAGAGCTGGGACAGGCTGAAAGGGCCCAGTATGGGGGTCTGGGTTTGGGAGGAGTCTTTTGTTTTGGCTTTTGCCACACTCACTGCTGCGGGCAGTGACTAAGGTCCTGCTCGTACCCTGGGGGTGCCTGTGTGAGAGCTGCTGGAGGCAGGGTCTGAACAGAGACAAAGCCACAGCGACACAAACTCCTGGCATGCGCTACCCTACTGCTGTGTCCGTTTCGATAGGCCATTTGTGTGACGTTGACTTGTCTAGCAATAGTCTTTTTAGAGAAAAATGGGAACAGAATATCTTGCTAGGAGATGCTCAGGTGACCCCAGCTGAAAGACAGAGACTTTGTGTGTTTGTGTGCACCTGTATTTGGCAACTGTTTGGTGGCATGACTGTCCAAATGCCTACAGTAGACTAGTGGAAGTCTGACAAGTCCGGTTCATTTTATTCATCAATGTCCTGGTTGAAGGCACAGAGTGCTCCCTCAGCAAGCTTGCTGATGACACGAAACGGGGAGGAGTAGCCGATACCCCAGAGGGCTGCGCTGCCATCCAGAGGGACCTGGACAGACTGGACAACTGGGCGGTGAAAAACCTCATGCAATTCAACAAGGCCAAGTGCAAGGTCCTGCACCTGGGGAGGAATAACCCCAGACACCAGTACAGGCTGCGGAGCAACCTTCTGGAGAGCAGCTCTGCAGAGAGGGACCTGGGTGTCCTGGTGGAAGACAAGTTGACCATGAGGCAGCAGTGTGCCCTTGTGGCCAAGAAGGCCAATGGAATCCTGGGGTGCATTAAGAAGAGCG